TTCCTTTTCCCTTTCCATTCCTTTTCCCTTTCCTCCTCTTTTCCCTTTCCATCCCTTTTCCCTTTCCATCCCTTTTCCCTTTCCTCTCCTTTTCCCTTTTCATTTCTTTTCCCTTTCCTCCTCTTTTCCCTTTCCATTCCTTTTCCCTTTCCTCTCCATTTCCCTTTCCCCCCCTTTCCCCTTTTCCCTTTTCCCTTTTCCCTTTTCCCTTTTCCCTTTTCTCCGTCCCGCGGCATCCGAGCTGAGAAACTTCGGTGCCCTTTCCTCCCCATTTCCCTTTCCCCCCCTTTCCCCTTTCCCCTTTTCCCTTTTCCCTTTTCCCTTTTCCCTTTTCCCTTTCCTCCGTCCCGTGGCATCCGAGCTGAGAAACTTCGGTGCCGGCCGAGCGCGTCCATCCCACGGCCCCGCGCTGTTCTCTCGGCCCGCGGGTGCCCCGGAGCCACTTTGGGTGAGGGATTCACTTCTTCCACCTTGTGCCGGCTGGGGAATCCAGATTTGGGGTTCGGAGCCCCCCCGGCAGCCCCCGCCGTGCCCCGGGGCTTTGTGCCTTGTCCAGGGGATGCTCTGGGTGCCTCCCGGGGGGGCAGGAGGAGGCACCCCCAAATCCTGGCTGCCGGGGGTCGGGCAGAGCCGGGGGGACACGGACACCCGTGGGGAGCGGGGAGCGAAGGCTCCCGGTGCCCCCCAGCACCGGGCAGGGTTTTGGGAGGGGCGGGATGCGCAGAGCTGGATCCCAAATTTGGGATAAGCGAATGAAACGCGCGTGGAAATAAACCCAGAGCAAAGGTTCTGCACATCCTCCTGCACCGCCCGCGGCAGAGCCAAGGGGGAACGGCTCCTCCCCACCTCGGGAACTTCTCCCCGTGCGGCTTTTCTGAAATTTCTCTCCCCACCACCACAACGAGGTGGGAGCCGCTCCGTTAATATCCCAAACCCCGAGAATTCCTGCCCTGGAGAGGCCCCGCCGAGGCTCCCGCTCCTCAGGCCGTGCAGGGAACCCAAATTAAACGGGTTAAGGGGTTTTTTTAAGAAGTTATTGAAGCCAAACGTGATGCCCCGGCCGAAATCCTCCTCTCGGTTGCAGCGGGCCCGGGTGTTCCGATCCTGCCGCCGTATGGGATTTTTTTCGAGGTTTTTTGTAATTTTTTTTCCTGCCAAAAATTCTTCAATCTTCATTTTCATTTTAATTTTTATTTTAACTTATATTTTAGTTCTTATTGTCCTTTTTTTGTTGTTGTTGTTTTGGTTTTGGTCTTTAAAAGCCTCATCCCTGCAGTCTGTCCTTGATTCTTTCCTCAGCGAGGGGAAGGAGCTGCGCTCAGAGAGTGAACAGGGAAAAATCAACCCGGGCTTATTTTGGGCTATTTTTCGGGTCGTACGTGCACTCCTGCAAAAAAACCCCACATAGTACCCAGCGGCTCAGGTCCTGCCCAGCTCGGCTCCGTTTTTAGCCCCCCGAAAATTAAGTTTTTATATATGCACTGGTGTGCGTGGAAGTTTTAAGGCTGGAAATCCTCAAATCTGCCGTTCCAAGGGAGATCCCGCGGTCGCGGCGGCGGCTCCTTCTGCTTCCTCGCGGTTTGGATTGGTTTCTTTTTCCCCAGAAAGACAGCAAAGCACGGAGCGGGTTTTTATTTGTCAAGGCACTCAGAACACACCCGAGCATTTTCTGCAAATCGCTCGTGCCCTTCCTTAAATCCTCCCAGATCGGGCTGGTTCTAACGCGATGTTAAATAAAATTAGAAATAAAAATGCACTGTCATCGGGGTAATCCCAGGGTGAATCCAAATTTGAAAGCGAAATCCCTGTCTTTGCAGCCTTTTTCAGAATAAATCGCAAAATTCGCCGTGGTTTTGTTTTTTTTTTTTCTTTTTTTGGCAGGTTAAAAAAAAATAATAATTTCTGGAGGGGGCTGAAATAGAAATTAAGAATAAAAAAATGCAGGTGAATTTAATAAAGAGGAGAATCAAAAGAGGGGAATCAAAAGAGGGGCAGGCGTGCGGTCGTGTCCCTAAAATCCCATTTCGGTGGCGGTGGGGAATGGTCAAAGCCGGCCCCGCCGGGACCCCACCGAGCTGCCCCACGGCCCCGGGGGCTGCGTGGGCACCGCTGCCCCTTTAACCCCCTCCTCTTCTCGGCCTTTTCTTCCAGGAGAGCCCCGGCCCCGGCCCCCCGTGCCCACCGAGGAGCAGCCGCTGGCCCAGGTGGGTGCTGGGGAACCACGGAGGGAGAAAAATCACGGGCAGAGCCCAGCCCGGGCTGCGGGGGCGCGGGGGGCGAGCCCCTGGCCCCAACAGGAGCTGCAGGCTGTGATTTGGGTGGGAGGACCCCCCAACAGGAGCTGGAGGCTGTGATTTGGGTGGGGGTGCAGGAGGGAGCACCCCTGGGTGCCTCCATGGGTGCTGCAGCCCCTCCTTGCCCCGTCACTCTCAGAGTCTTCCCAAAATCTGCGGTTTTCCCCCCAGCTAAGCCTGGAAGTGGAAGAAAAGAAAGGGGAAAGGTGCAGAACAAACCCCCCAAAGCCTTTTGTTCTGGGGGGCTCACAGAGAGCCGGGCAGGGGGCACGGGGAGGGGCTGTCGGCGGAGCAGCCTGAGGAGCAGAGCCCCAGGGCTGTTTTGGGGTTTTTTTCACACCCCCAACCCCCTTTCCCCACTCCAGTGCTGGGCCTAGACCAGTGGGTTCCTATTTTCCCAGTGGGGGCAACTGGGAGAGGGGGTCCTGGCAGGTGGGACACGCTGTGGTGGCAGCAGGAGAATCCAGCTCCAGAAAGAGACAAAAGCCATGAGTAACTTCCCAGCCCAAACTCACAGACCCAAAACCAGCTGGGAAAAAAAAAAATAATAATTCCAAGGTAAAGAAACCTTTAAGAGAAAATGAAAAAATCCCAGCTCCAATGCTCTGTTCTTGTTCAAGGTAAAATCATGGGGGTTTTTTGTTGTTGTTTTTTTAATTTATTTTTTTTAATGGGATCTATATTATAGCAAGGAAACCAAAGGGTAATTAACAGCGGGGTTAAAACCACAGAAGTAAAGCGGCATTTGGTTCCATCCGGGCTCTGCAGAGCGCGGCCAGGCCCTGGCGCTGGCCCTGGGGGTGTTTCCCCTCCCCGAGAGGGGGACGCCGGGGAGGCTGAGCCTGGGGGGCACGGAGGTGGCAGTGTGGCTCTGCGGCGCAGGGCACACTCGGCGTGCCCAGGCCGCCAGCGGTGGCCGGTGGCGCCGGGGGTGGTGGCGATGGCCACGGGAATGAGCCAAGTCCAGGCCATGAGCGTGGCGATGATGATGATGATGATGATGATGATGAGGGTGGTGTTGGCGCTCCAGGGCGATGCTGGAGGCGCCGATGGCGGTGGCGCCGGGCGGCGGGGTCGGTGGCGGTACCGGGGGTTCCGGGGGTACCGGGGGTTTTTGGGGGGGGGTGCCGGCGGCGGCGGCGCGCGTGTGCGCGCGGCCCCTCCCCGGCCCATTGATGAAGCGGGAGCGCTGCAGAGGGGTGGGAACGGCCCGGGTGACGTCAGGCGGGCGCGGACCAATCAGCGGCGGCGGCGAGGGCCGGGAGTGTGAAAGCATGAATGAAAAGTGCCGCGCGCCGCTCCCCCCGGCGCAGAGGCTGCGGGCAGCGGCTGCGGGCAGCAGGTACGAGCCGAGCCGAGCCCAGCCGCCGGCAGGGCCCCCGAGCCCCCCGCAGCAGCCGCGGGGTCTCGGCGGAGCGAGGGCTCCGCAGCGCCAAGGGTGAAAGAGGGATGCAGGTGAAAGAGGGATGCAGGTGAAAGGGGGATGGAGCCCGGGCAGGTCGCTGGGCGAGGGGAGGGACGCGGGGGTGGAGGAGGGCGGCAGGGATCGCGGGGTGCCACGGGGGGAGGAGAGGGATGCGGGTTCCTCGCCCGAGGGATGCTCCGGAGCGGAGGAACGGCGCGGGGGGGTGCACGGTCCTCGCCCAGAGGAAGGAAAGGGTGGAGGGACGCGGGTCACTCTGGAGAAGGAGAATGAGGGTCCCCCCCGCGCCCCCGGAGGAAGGAGGGATGGAGGGGAGCAGAGCCCCCGAAGCAAGGACGGAGGGATGCGCGTTCCCCGCGAAAGAAGAAAGGACGGAGGGATGCGGGGAGAGGGCGCGAGGGATGCGGTTCCCTGGCGGGGAAAGCCGCGCTCTCCCCCGAGCGAACGGAGGGATGCGGGTCCCGGTCCCTGGCCGAGATGCGCGGTCCTCGCTCAGGGCCGGGGTCCTGAGCCGCGAGCAGGAGTCGCTCCCTTCCTTCTTTCCTCCCTTCCATCCCTTTCATCATTTCCTCCGTGTTTTCTGTGTTTATTCATCGCTATTCCCCCCGATCTTGGCTGAATCCAAAGCATCACAAGTTACTATTTATACGAACCGGCAGGTTTTTCTCGCAGTCATTTTGTTTGGAGAGCGTTAAACGCATTTGTGGGTGGGGAAATGTCCTTTTGGTCTTTTATGCATATTTTAAGTTGTGGGTGCAAATTATATTTGCTTTGATTATTACCAGTTTGAATGCATTAATTTGATAGTTATTAAAAATAATGTGGGCTTAATTCTCGGCACCTGCAGAATATCATTTGGTTTGCAAATGAAACAAATTGAAACTCGGCAGAAAATAGGCAGCCCTTGCGTGGTTATCCTGTAATTCTGCTCCAAATTGTGTTTCCTGGGGGCCTGATCCTGCCTGTCCCAGCGATGCTCAGGGCTGCAGGAGCAGGGCTGTAGCTGTGTGAAGATATTACGGATCTGGCTGCTAATATTTGCATCTCTTTTTATTCGTTTTCCTCCCTCGTTCCTTCCTTAAAAGCCACGTGCCCCCGAGCCCCTGGAGAAGAGGAGGTTGGCTTTTTCCTGCTGATGCTGTAGACTCCAGGGGTTGGTTGTTATCTTTGGTTATCTAGCTGTATGAGTGGTGTCGATTCTTCATAAAGCTAGATAACCGAAAGTAAAAATAACCCCATTACACGCCTGAGGAGGATGTGGAGAAGAAAGGAAATTCATCAAAAGGAAGAGGAGGAAAAGAAAAATATATATTAAAAAAAAAAAAAGAAACAAACAAACAAAAAAAAAAGAAACAAAAAAAAGAAGAGAAAGGAAATGAGAGGCGGAAAAAATGGGGGAAAAGACAACTTTCAGAGACTGGAATTAAAACCCGAGGTAGGATTTTTTTTTTTTTTTTTTTTTTTTTTTTTTTTTAAAACATTTTTTCCCCCCTAATTTTTTTTTTT